TAGTAAAACTTGGACTTTATCAATCAAGAGCCAGGGAAAAAAATCTAGAGATAGAGGTTGAAAGTAGAGAAATGTTTTTCATAATTGATGAGGACATATTATTTTCCCCCCGCCCTCTGTGCTGGGGAGATATAGTAGTTAACAGCTTACTGGAGTCATATTGGGTAAACTATTACAGATAGACATTTGCACAGTGTTATATTGAAGACACATTTGATCAAAATATTTAATGACAATATAGTCATGTGACCTCATTAAAAAGGCGCAACTATTATATCTTGATCACTATTGCAGATAGACGTTCATTGTAGTAGTAGGGTAGTGTATAACACTATTATATATTAGTAATATCAATATCTGCACTGTTTGGGTCATAGTAAAAGTCATTTAAGCAATTTAATAGATTTCGGTAGCTAATTTGCATAATGTTTGGCTGATCTCAATATCATATATATATATACACTGCTTAAAGTAATAGCAAAAAAAATGTTTCAGTTCTGGTAATAATTTTATTCATGAAACACTAAATACAAGCTTTAATGACATACGACGTGTAGCTATGCATCATTCCCAGATGAAATTGTCAGGCTTTCTTTGACTCGTCACTGATGCCCTCCAGCAGGTCTTGAGAGGAATATGTTAGGCTTCACATATAGTGGAATAATAACATGGAGAATGTAAAGAAATGTTTTGGATGGATGGAGTGAAAATGTAGGGTTTTAAATTACAGAAATGTTGATAGACGTTGCAAGTAAAGAAATATTGAAGAGTGAATTAAGGGAATGATAGGGGTGCAAAGTAGAAGAAAGTGAATGAAAAATGTTCAAGGGTTTGAAAGTATAGAAATATTGAAGATAGGGTTGAAAGTAGATAAATGTGTTGAATATAGGGTTGAAAGTAGACAACATAATGGCTAGAGTAATGGGCAACATAGAAGTTGCAGGTGAAGAAATGTTGAGGATAGGGTTGAAAGTAGAGAAATGTTGAGGATATGGGTTGAAAGTGAAGAAATGTTGAAAATATGGGTTGAAAGTGAAGAAATGGGTTGAAAGTAGAGAAATGTTGAAGATAGGGTTGAAAGTATATAGAAATGTTGAAGATATGGGTTGAAAAGTAGAGAAATGTTGAGGATAGGAGTTGAAAGTGGAGAAATGTTGAAAATATGGGTTGAAAGTGAAGAAATGTTTAAGATATGGGTTGAAAGTATATAGAAATGTTGAAGATATGGGTTGAAAAGTAGAGAAATGTTGAAGATAGGGTTGAAAGTGGAGAAATGTTGAAGACAAGGGTTGAAAGTAGTGAAATGTTGAAGATAGGGATTGAAAGTAGAGAAATGTTGAAAATATGGGTTTAAAGTAATGAAATGTTGAGGATAGGAGTTGAAAGTGGAGAAATGTTGAAGATAGGAGTTGAAAGTGGAGAAATGTTGAAGATAGGAGTTGAAAGTGGAGAAATGTTGAAAATATGGGTTGAAAGTGAAGAAATGTTTAAGATATGGGTTGAAAGTATATAGAAATGTTGAAGATAGGAGTTGAAAGTAGAGAAATGTTGAAGATATGGGTTGAAAAGTAGAGAAATGTTGAAGATAGGGTTGAAAGTGGAGAAATGTTGAAGACAAGGGTTGAAAGTAGTGAAATGTTGAAGATAGGGATTGAAAGTAGAGAAATGTTGAAAATATGGGTTTAAAGTAATGAAATGTTGAGGATAGGAGTTGAAAGTGGAGAAATGTTGAAGATAGGAGTTGAAAGTGGAGAAATGTTGAATATATGGGTTGAAAGTAGAGAAATGTTGAAAATATGGGTTGAAAGTAGAGAAATGTTGAAGATAGGGTTGAAAGTATATAGAAATGTTGAGGATAGGAGTTGAAAGTATATAGAAATGTTGAAGATATGGGTTGAAAAGTAAGAGAAATGTTGCAGGTGAAGAAATGTTGAAAAATGTTGAAGATAGGGTTGAAAGTGGATAAATGTTGAAGATATGGGGTGAAAGTAGAGAAATGTTGAAGATAGGGGTTGAAAGTGAAGAAATGTTGAAGATATGGGTTGAAAGTAGAGAAATGTTGCAGGTGAAGAAATGTTGAAAAAATGTTGAAGATAGGGTTGAAAGTGGATAAATGTTGAAGATATGGGGTGAAAGTAGAGAAATGTTGAAGATAGGGGTTGAAAGTGAAGAAATGTTGAAGATATGGGTTGAAAGTAGATAAATGTTGAAGATAGGAGTTGAAAGTAGAGAAATGTTGAAGATAGGGGTTGAAGGTAGAGAAATGTTGAAGATATGGTTTGAAAGTAGAGAAATGTTGAAGATAGGGTTGAAAGTATATAGAAATGTTGAAGATAGGGTTGAAAGTATATAGAAATGTTGAAGATAGGGTTGAAAGTAGAGAAATGTTGAGGATAGGAGTTGAAAGTAGAGAAATGTTGAAGATAGGGTTGAAAGTATAGAAATGTTGAGGATAGGGTTGAAAGTAGAGAAACGTTGAGGATAGGAGTTGAAAGTAGAGAAATGTTGAAGATAGGGTTGAAAGTAGACAAATGTTGAAGATAGGGTTGAAAGTGGAGAAATGTTGAAGACATGGGTTGAAAGTAGTGAAATGTTGAAGATGAGAGTTGCAGGTGAAGAAATGTTGAAGATAAATGTTGAAGATAGGGTTGAAAGTAGAGAAATGTTGAAGATAGGGTTGAAAGTAGAGAAATGTTGAAGATAGGGTTGAAAGTAGAGAAATGTTGAAGGTAGGGTTGAAAGTGGAGAAATGTTGAAGACATGGGTTGAAAGTAGAGAAATGTTGGAGTTGAAAGTAGAGAAATGTTGAAGATAGGGTTGAAAGTAGAGAAATGTTGAAGATAGGGTTGAAAGTATAGAAATGTTGAGGATAGGGTTGAAAGTAGAGAAATGTTGAAGATAGAGGTTGAAAGTAAAGACAACATAATGGCTAGAGTAATGGGCAACATAGAAGTTGCAGGTGAAGAAATGTTGAAGATATGGGTTGAAAGTAGAGAAATGTTGAAGATAGGAGTTGCAGGTGAAGAAATATTGAAGATAGGAGTTGCAGGTGACGAAATGCTAAAGAAAGGAGTTGCAGG